TTCCCTGCTGAATGTCACACGTGTTGACATCCTGAGCTGAGTGAGGTGGATCCATCTCTGATGATGAACACAAAACCAGATGGGTTTTGACACATTTTCCAGGCTGCAGCCATGGCAGATGTGCTCGCTGCTTTGTGATGTACCAATAAATAGAATTTTGTGCACTGTRCTAAGCAAACTCCACTCAAGTGTAAATGATGAGAGGGGTACAGAGACAGGTGTGATAGCATCTCAGAAAAGAAATCTTTCTAGGTAAGAAAAAAAGAGTCCTAGAAAGCACTGAAAGCTGTCAGTGGCATTACAAGTAGGAGGGGATGCTGGAGGGATTTGCAAGGAGAGAAATACTTCGGAAACKAAGGAGAAAAAAAAATCCTCAGGAGACAAAGTGTGAGTGAAGGTGCAGGTTGTGACCCAGGAGACATTCCCAAGGTGCAGAAAAAGAAGCTGCATGGGCTGGGCAAAGGCAGCATCCTGGAGGGGTTCACAATGGCACAGCCTGGAGAGCAAGGGGGAACAATGCTTCCCTTTCCTTGTACAGCCAATCCAGCTGCACTTGACCAGTTCAGAGTGCTGTTTTTTGAAAGGCACCAACATGAACCAGAATGAGCTGCCAGTATCAGCACTGACCTCTTTCAGTCCATRCCAAAGGCCCCGTACCTGGTGGTGGCCGGCGATGGAGGCGACGTGCAGGGCGGTCAGGGCTCCGTACCCGACCTGCTGGATGTCAGCCCCGCCGTGCAGCAGAGCTGTCAGCAGCTCCTCATTGTTCTGAAAAGCAGGGATTGACCCATCACTGCAGGGACACAGCTCAGCTGGGGGAACACGAGCAGCCCCAGCCTCCCCAGWGGTGATGGAGAGGGACCCGCTGAGCTCCGGGGCTCGGGGAGAAAGGAGAGGCTGAGGGGGAAGGTTTTCCCAGCACCAGACATCACTCTTCTGCTATAATAAAGCACCAGACATCACTCTTCTGCTATACTAAATCCTGTATCTTATAAAATGTTATGGTGGCACTGGACAGCTCCTCTGTCTTGAGTGGCACTGGATGTCTCCATCAGTAATGCCAAAGCAATGTCCCACCCCATGGATGGCACTGCAAAAGCACAGACTGATTCCTGTGCATGGGATCTTGAAAGGGCATTTTCCTATGCACTGCAAATGTGAAATTTATATTTKCATGACAAATAATAACTAGAGAGCTCATCTAGGCGGTTCAGACAAACCAGCTGCTCGGTTCTGATCTGCTGTCATCAATTCCATTTAAAATCATTTACCTTATAAGCTGCCATATGAAGGGCTGTAAATCCATTTCTYGTCAGCCTGGACGGGCGCAGCCCTTTCAGCATCAGAGTTCTGATGTGGGATTTGTTGCCTTTAGGGAGARAAGTGGGRAAAAASTCAGYTACAGAAAAGAACATGCAGATGAGSTAAGAARCTCCTGTGTGAGTTTGAAAGCAGAGAAATGGGCAACTCCACTGCTGATCTGAGGCAAGTAATAAAATCTGTCTTTTGACACCTCAGAATGATGAGGTTGATGGAAGCATCTCATCGGCTGGGACAGTTGTGGGTCACATACCAGCTCACTGTTTGTTCCTACTCCAACAAGGATTTGGTAAGGTTGAACTCGTAGAGAAGCAAACTCCTCCTTTAACACCCCGACCATGCTGCACAGAGCCCCATGAATCGGGTGCTCCTGGAGCCTCAGTTCCTCAGTTCCTGTGCTGTCTCAGACCTGCAGCACTCTCTCTCAGCACAGGACACCCTACAAGCACAGTTATTTTGGAGTGCTGATGTGACTCCACACAGACAGGGAGCTTTGCTTTGCCCTTTATGGAGCACAGGGATATCTCATTTAATTCATCTGCCTTCTGAAAACTCCTGACAGTGACCAAGGACAAGGTCACAYCTCAGCTCTTCACCCTCCTCCAATGTTCACATAACAAATATTTACTCTGTTTTCTTGAACTTCTTCTCAGCTGCCCCACCAACTGCTCTGATGTTCCCACATATTGATGTCATCTTTGGACAGGATCTTGCACTCAGAAATGACCAGTAAAGTTCCACTCTGTGTTCAGTAGTGCAGGATCAGGCTGTTCCTCATGGCAAACATCTAACTAAGATGGAGAAAATCATTTATGTGTGTCATTAGTCAGTACTTCACAGAGCTGAAACATCAGGGTAAAAGTCTCTCTGTCTCTCTCAGCCAATTTCTGCTGGAAATTGTATAACAAGAGCAAAGCAAGTGCATGAACTAATGACTGGCTGTGGAGAACAGAGCAGCTGKGTGGATCCAAGTGGAAAATCCCACCATTAACACATTTTTATGAGCATCCCAGAACACATYTTGCCCTCTTCTCCTGGGTATCCTGATCTGGTATCTGCCAAAGCCCTGATGTTTGTCACTAAAGCATTTCAGTTATTGGTTTTTTTTAATCATTGTGTAATAAAATACAGATATTTTTGTTACACTAGAAAAACAACTTGTGTAAGTTTGGCAAAGTGTTGCTCCAACAAGGTCCCTGTGCCATGTACAGAATCCAGAAATGTTCTGGGATGAGCTGGATTAACCAATGCCTACAGAAGCAATTTGGAATGAGCTGTACAGCTGTAGAACACCACGCTGCACCATCAACCAGAACCTCCATCGAGCTGAGGAATCAGTGACAAAGGGGTTCTTTGTGACTCAATTCAACCCTCTGGCAATGCAGCCTGGACTGATATGGAATCCTGTGCTCCTCCATCTGAGAACTCCCTGAAGATGCAGTCCTGCATCCTGGCAGCAAACCAGTGATGGTGTGAGGTGTT